AAGTGTAATTAGAGGACCAACCCCTCAACCTCAGTCATTTAGGCCATAGAAATGATCACACAGGCTAAACATTGCCTAACTGCTTAGAAAGAAAACAAATCAAACAGAGATCTATATGCATCTAAATAGACTAAATCCACGGATGGAGAGAAACTGCTTTGGCTTATCACTCTCGTCTTTATATTTCAATATATAAACCATATCAACATTCCTGGGATAACCCATTTAACAGGAGGATCTCTGGAGAGCAAAAGCATGAAAAGAGGAGGAAGCACAAGTCACAAACTGTGAGTCTGCATCATCTGACGGAGCGAGAGCAGATCATTTGCACGTGAGCAGCCATCATGTTTTAAGTGCTTGTGTGAAGTTTTGCGCACGACAGCTCGCAAGCAGTTTTGTCTATGAACAGAGGAAACCAGCGCGTGAGCAAAGAGATTTGCTCGCTCATATTACATGAATGCACCATTACATGTCTTCTGTCATTTTTATCAAATTACTTTTTTTCCTCTGCTGCGAACCGGGCTGAGCCAATAGCCTTGGACCGCGAGCTCAAGCTCAGAGGCTGAAATCATTACACGTTCAAAGTAAAAATTTCCAATAGCCTGAGGAAGATAAATGACAACACATGCATATATTCACTAACCACTAACAGGAAATAGAACTTACTTGCCATATTCTTTGTTTGTTAATGTCTTGCAGGCGAAAAGTTAATCCCAACACTGTTAATATCTGGTGTCTACAGAATGCATTTGTGAAGTTTCAGCTGAAAATATACAGATCATTCACTATAGCATCATCAAATTTGCCCCTATTTGTGTGCAGGCTAAAACACCGTTTCTGTGAATGTTCCTTTAAATGTAAATGAGCTTCTGTTTTTTAGAAGAGGGCGGAGCTATCGCACACTATTCTGTCACTACAGAAACAACAAAACAAATAAATATTATTCAGCCAAATTGGCGGAATTTACCAGTAGTGGATTACAAGCATATATAATCAAACCACAGTCAAACAATGATTGAGAGGAAAATCATCATCAGCATTGTTATCATCAGTATTTTTCTCCAAAAATTCCATGACTTTTTCAGGACTTTCAAGTCCAAACCTTACATCTAGGGTTGAGTACTGAAACCCGGTGCCATGAGCGAGAGCGACTCTTCAGATCAACACGCATGATCACATTCTTTAAATTTGCTTAAACTAAGCGTTCTAAAGTGTATTTTACAAGCAATGATTCTGACAATGCAACGTGAAGCAGATGCTTTACAAAAGTTGCGTGTTAGGGGGAAACACATCAACTTAAAGGCAGAAGAATGCACTCTGAAAAGCTTGCGACATCATCTGGCACTTTCAATGAGTATGTACATGGACACCAATGCTTCGATTTTAATATGATTAAGACAATACTCTGATTAAGAGTCTAGACTACCATGTAAACAGTGATTTTGATTACCTTAAAGGACCACAGACACCTGCATTGCAAAATGCAGAGGTTTTTTCTTTCCCTTCAATTCTCATCAAATTTTATTAAAAGAGCACTCTTCCACCAGCCCTTACTTAATGCTCGCATCAAATACCTGTTTGTCATAGGGGCATGAATGAAATGTTCCTGAATGAAAGTGAAACTGCAGTTAAAGTCTAAAAATAAAAAATTGAAACCTGAAATTACATGAAACTGGAGGAAACATGGATAGCGTGATGACGCAATCGATCTATGTACTATAACATGTAAGATGGATCATGAAAGGAACATTCAAACAGCAACTCATGTAAACACCTTAATCATATTATTGTCTTATTCAGATTAAGACAAATCATTAGATTACTGATAACCATGTAGTCCCAACCCTAGAAAAAAGGAGTTCAGTATTTGATGACAGCCTTTCCACAGGCTAGTAGTAAGTTAATGTAGTTGCATAATACAAATCTTAAATTCATGTGATATGAATATGCATATATTGTTAAAAGTTATTGTTATATTTATTTAACTATTAAAGTTATTGTTTAAAAGATTGTCAAATAAAAGACTTTTCTAGAGTCATCCACTTTAATTTTGTGGCTCAAAAATATCGGTTCAGGCACCGGTTTCAGCACTGGTACCGTTTAAAAAGTATCAATTTAGCACCGGTATCGAAATAACCCCAAACGATACCCAACCCAACTCACATCACGGTCACATCATAAGTATTCTGCTTTCTCGGTTATGAAACGCATTACAAAAAATTATTTAGTTGATGAGACTTAGTTTTCTCATCCTATGAGAAGTCTCTGCTTCTGAATTATTAGAGATGTCCTCACTGCAGTCTGTAACCATAATGCCGTACTGGACCAGTTCTACTACATAGTGGACATTGTACCGCCCAATAAGGTAACGCCAATGCTTCTATGACGGTTGGGTTTAGGGTAGGGGAAAGTGTAGGCGATCGTCCATTATATAGTTGACCTGGTCCAGTACATCAACAAGCGAGTTCACAGCTGGGAGACAGGGAGGCCTGTCTCAAATTATTTGATCAAGCTGTGAGTCCATGCAGTAGGTAGGTGTTCATGATGGGCCATGGCACTGGTAGTGTAGTCAGAAGTACCAATTTCTAAGTGTCTCTACTGAAATGAGAAAAAAAACAATAGCAAAAAAGGAGGGGGATTGTCATGACCTTTAAAGCTCTTATGAGAGAGAGTGGCTATGAAAGCAATGCCTTCCTCCACCCATGTTTTTTTATGTGTAATGTTATGCAATTGTTTATATTTTGCAAGGAAATAAAATTGTCACATATCACTGTACACATAACAATTTTCATGTAAACTCACTCGTGAACTCGCATAAATAAGATCATGTGAACACATACATGTCTGCTCTGTGTTTTCTCGCCTTAAGTTAATACGTTTGTGTAGTTGCTGTGGAGTAAAGTTCAGAATTGAGTCTTATTTATGAAGCAGTCTGGCATTGAGTATTTTTTGTCCAAATACTGTAAAAGGTTCCACTTTATAATAAATGCCTTATTTAATATGTTCTTGCACTAAAACTAATCATTTGCTACAATGTACTTATTGTGTAAATACATGTTTATACTTTATGCTTGAGTATATACTTTATACTTTATCTGTAATTATATTTATAATTACACTGCTGACCGTGCCTTAAACCTTAACCTACACATACCACCAAACATTTCCCTAACCTTACCCATACCCCACCTCAATGGCATCAGAAGTGTTCTGCAATACATTATAACACATTTAGTACATTGCTTTTATATTTTAATGTAGTACATGGTACTGTAGTTAAGGCCACTTAGTGGGTCAAAACTTTATTTTCTTTCATTTTATCCAAAACATTAATCCACCACAGAGTCCAGTGATGTCAGGAGTCTGTGCAGATGATTATGTTTGTTAGTTCAGCTAACAACAGCACACTGGTAATGTTTTACCTGTAAATTTACAATAAGTAAAGTGAAATGGTAAACTGCTGCTGTGGCACAGTGGGTGGAAACATACAGATTAGGGGAAGGAATTATATATATCATTATAATTATAATGTATTTTATATACAATCCCCTACCAATGTCACTAGAGGAGCGAATTTTCTACAGCAGTTTTTATCACATTCATCATGTCATAAAAATTGCTTCTTTTTTTGTCTAGGTGTCTATGTACAGATGAAGTCAGAATTATTAGCCCCTATGAATTATTAGCCCCTATTTATTTTTCCCCCAATTTTTGTTTAACTGAGAGATTTTTTTGCAACACATGTATAAACATAATAGCTTTAATAACTCATTTCTTCTTTGATCTTTGCCATGAAGGTATTGTATAATGATGGTTTGTTCTGTAGACTATCGAAAAATATATAGCTTAAAGGGGCTAATAATTCTGACCTTAAAATGTTTTTTTTGTTTTTTTTAAACAATATTATCAGACATACTGTGAAAATGTCCTTTTATTCTAGCCAAATAAGATTTCCTCCAGAAAAAAACAAAAAACAAAAAAAAAACAATATTATCTGACTTACTAATTTCCTTGCTCTGTTAAACATCATTTGGAAACATTTAAAAAGAAAAAACTATTCAAAGGGGCTCTAATAATTCTGACTTGAACTGTATGCGATATGGGTCTGTGCTCAGTGTAATATTGCTATGAGTTGGCAGAGATGCTGAAGTCTATCAGTCTGGTATATGAGATTAACTAGTGGGCAGAGGACGGTGGTAAGCCTCAAATGGGTGGGGCAAGATGGCACAGCTGGTGGCACAGGGAAGTGTTAGAACTGACTGTACACAGCTGGCACAGAAATAGAGTGGTGTGAGTGACAGGAGCATCTGTATGTCCACTCCTGTGCTTCAGCCTCAAGTTACTGCATGCGGTCAACTTGGCAACGTTCTGAATGCGCATATGCATATAGAGTGTATATAAATAAATTATTAATGAATGTTTAATCATATTTAAATGATGTGTTTTATATATATATAAAACACATAAAATACACTGTATATATAAACTGTTTAGTTAACCTAATTAACCTAGTAAAGCCTTTAAATGTCACTTTAAGCTGTATAGAAGTGTCTTCAAAAAAATCATTAGAAATGAGTTATTAAAACTATTATGTTTAGAAATGCATCAAAAAACGCATCTCTCCATTAAACAGAAATTGGGGGGGGGGGGGGGGGAATAAACAGGGCTAATAATTCTGACTTCAAATGTATATCCACTTTTATAGACACAAATACACATTGGATAGAAATGTAAAATAAAATAAAATAAACAAATTAATATAATTTTTAAATATGTAAAATATATGTTAAAACTGCACAGACACTGTTGCCATCCTAATATCTTCTTGACCTCTCCTTTATATCTTTATGGCATGAATTCCCATTAAATCATGTGTTCCCAAACTTTAGCTTTGCTATTTTCCACAGCATTTTGATCATATTTCAAAACATTCAGTACTGTGACATTTAGCTCTGTGCCTATGCTTCCAGCTGAACTCGTGCTTAAAACTGGACTCTCACCTTCCATGATGGAGATGTGTACCGCTCTCCGGCGGGTGCGAGGGACACTGCTTAGTCGCGGCCCGTGAGTGATAGATGGACAGCTCCTGCTAGGCACCAGGCCAGCCCTGTGACACATACACATACAGTACTGGATCCACACACACATTTATCACATTACAGTACATCTCCTAATGACAGACAGCAGTCGCTCTATCATGCATGTGGACCAAACACACACTGAATAAACGTAAATATATACGTTTAGCACTCATGCATACCTGTGTATTTCTGGAGGCTCCCTTTTAATTTTTGCACTCTGCTCCATTACCTCTTTGGCTACTCTTCCACTGAAATTAAACAAAAACTAGTTATAAAAGCTTCACCCCTGCTAGAGTGAAATATTTTGCCATCATTTTCACTAATGAAAGTAAATGTAAATCTAACTGAAAGACCGCTTCGTACAGACACAAACAAAACTAGTTCTGTTTGCATTCACACTTCAGCCCAAAAGTAAACTTCATATTATACTATAGTCTAGGATTTTACATTAGTAGTACATCCCATTAGTTCATGTAATTACTAACATGAACTATATTTCATTCGTTTTCTTTCAGGCTTAGTCCCTTTATTAATCTGGGGTCGCCACAGCGGAATGAATCACCAACTTATCTAGCATGTTTTATGCAACGGATGCCCTTCCAGTTGCAACCCAACTCTGGGAAACATCCATACACACTCATTCACACTCATGCACTACAGACAATTTAGGCTACCCAATTCAGCAGTACCGCACGTCTTTGGACTGTGGGGGAAACCGGAACACCCGGAGGAAACCCATGCGAACACGGGAGAACAAGCAAACTCCACACAGAAATGCCAACTGGCTTGAACCAGTGACCTTCATGCTGTGAGGCAACAGCACTACCTACTGCGCTACTGTGTCACTCATATTATATTATATTATATTATATTATATTATATTATATTATATTATATTATATTATATTATATTATATTATA